GGGGGGGGGGGGGGGGGGGGGAGAGAGAGGGCCGGTCAGCACCGGCAAAGCATGCAAGCCCCGCGAGGGATGTAGGCGGGGGAGACGACGGAGCACGCGCGCATGCAGGGAGGAGCGACATACCTGGCCCGGGCGGAGGTGGCAGATGACATACTCGCAGTTGTCAACGAAGACGGAGACGGTGCTGCGCTCGCAGGAGGCGTTGATCTTGGCGCCGAGGGCGGCCTGGAGAGCACATGGCGCGACGACGGGCTCTGGGGGGTCAGCACATGGGCGGCGGGCGGTGGGGCGAAGGGAAAGGGGCAGAGTCCGGAGGGGTCGCGGCGCGAGGTGACGGACCATGGTCACACGGAAGGTCTCAGTGACCAGGTTGTTGTAGAGCTTGCCGGGCTCGAGCACGACGCCCCAGAAGGTCTGGATGGCGGGGCCGGCGTTGGCCAGGGACATGGTCTCCTCGTCAAGCATGGTGTCTGATCGGGGGAGGGGACCGGGAGGGACCGGGGAGGCGGCGTGTCAGAGCAGGGGAGGGGGCGAGGAGCAGGGAGCGATGGGCGGAAGGGGGACCACGCGGCGGCCGGGGAAGGGGGGCATACAGCAAAAGGGGGGGGGGGGGTAGGCAAATCAGTCACACAGGGAGGGAGGCGAATCTGCTGGACGCGGCTGTGTTTCAGTCTCCTCTACACCGGAGGCCTTTTATATTCGTTCGTGTGTGCCTTTGCAGGGGGGGGGGAGGGGGGGGCGGCGAGACCGGGGGCAGGGCCACGCGTGCGCGCAGCCGGGCAGCAGGGAATAAAAAGAAGAGCGGCGAAGGAACGGAACCCTGATGCAACCATGCGCCGCCCGACCGGAGGACCGGGGGGGGGGGGGGGCTTGCTCCGGGAGATCCGCGTGCGCGCGCGCGCGGGAGCGGGCGTAGTTGTGCGGTCCCGCGCGGGCTGCCACGAGGGCCCCGTCCCCCCGCCCCGCGCCCCCCCCCCTCCCGCCCGCGCTCTCCCCTCCCTCCGGGCGCCGCCCTTGTTCCGGCCGAGGCAAATATGGCGGGCAGCCGCCACACACTGTGCCCGGGCTGTTGCTTTTGCCGGAGGGGCGGGACGACGCCCAGGGGCGCGCAGTCGTGAACCGGGGCGCGCGCGCGCGCGCGGCCGCACCTCCGGCCCGGTGCCCCCCCCCAATCGCCCCCTGCCCGCCGCCGGCTGGGAACGTCCCAACTGTCCGAGAACATGCCCGAAGGGCCAGACCATGGGAACAGGTCAGCCGCGTGTCGCGTGACCACGCCGCCCCATCGGGACGATCGGCACCCCGGGCCGCCCCCGCCCGGTGCCGCCAGTCTGCGTTCATCGCGCGGTGCCCCCCCCCCCCCCCCCCCCCGCCCAAGCACCGCCGGGAGCCCCCCCCCCCCCCCCCCCCCCCCGAGGGAGGGGAGAGTTCCCCGCCCCTCCGCCCGGGCCCCGGGCCCCGGCCCGGCTGATCGCCCTTCCCACCGCCCTTGCTCTTTCGGGCGCGTGTGCGGGAAGACGGGCACACACGCATACGCACACGCACACGCACAGGCATATCCACCTGGATGCGCTCTCTCTCCCACCTCGCCCCCTGTGTCCGCCCCCTCGCCCCGCCACCGCTGGTCTGTCCACCCTTGCCGCATCTTTCCTGCCGGTGCTCCGAGCACGCTCTCGTTTGACGGATGTCCCCGCCGCCGGCTGTCGCCGCCGGTGCCCCTGCCGCCCCCGAGGAGGAGCTCGAGGACCCTGCTCTCGGCATTGAGCTCTCCCTTTCGCCAGATGCCTGGGACGATACACCCCTGATCAAGGCCTGGGACAGTGCCATTCAGTCCTTCCGGGTGCGTGGGCCCTCATGCTCCTTGCCGGCAGCCGCTCGCCTGTGCCTGCCCCTTTCTGACACTCCAACAACCGGCCCCCCCCCCCCCCCTCTCCCCTTCCCCTCCCTCGCCACCGGCCGCCGGCCCGGGTGCACAGGCCTTCCATGGTCGGCCGTCGGCAGCGCACCCGCGTGCCCGTCGTGCCCCGCCATCCGCCCAATCGACGGCCCGCGTGTCGGCCCGGGGCGGCGCCGGCGCCGGCGCCGGCGCCCTTCCCATTCCCTCCCAGGATGCCTTGGGGTCCGAGTCGGAGGCCGATGCGAGTGCAGATGATGAAGGTGCAGACACATGCGTGGTTGCGGATGCCGATGCCGAGATAGACGAGGAGGCGCAGGAGGCGCAGGAGGAGGATGCCGAGGTCGGCGCCAAGGCCGATGTCTCCCCGGAGGCCGAGCGTGAAGCTGTGCCAGCCGACTCGCCCGCAGTGACCGAGGAGGCGATGACCGCCTCCCCGGGCCGGGCTGACCCCCGGGCGGCGGAGGCCTCCTACGCGGCATGGCAGTGGTACAATCACCAATCGGCCGGCATGGCTGACACCGGGGCTGCCGGGGCAGCCCCATGGCAGTGGCAGCCCCCGGGCGCCATGGGAGGTGAGTCTGGCTGGCCGGTGTCCGGCCCGGGCTGGCCGTCATCCGGCCCGGCGTGGGCGCCAGGTGTTGCTGCCGATGCCAGCCAGACGCCCGCCGGGCCGGCCGATCAGCTGGTCGACTCGGTGCTCGGTTCGGATGCCGATATCCAGGCAAACCTGTCGATGGCCTGGTACTATGCCGGGTACTATGCCGCCATGGCCAATGCGTCGCGCCTGTTCCGGCAACACCTATCCGCCAAGCGCCCGGCCCCTGTGACCGAGCCCTCCGGGCCATCGCCGGCGCCGGGACCAGAGCCAGCGCCAGCGCCAGCCCCATCCCCTCCCGCCGGCGTCAAGCGCCGTCGCCAATAAACCCACCTGCCCTGCCTTTGCTCCCCCACGCTGAAAGTAAGTCGAGCCGCGGCCCAGACAAGTGGGCAGCTCTATTCTTCATGATGATGATGATGATGATGATGTTGATGACGGCCATGACCGTTGTCCGGGTGGCCAGCGGTCCCGGGAGGATCGCCCTCGGTGAGTGAGGCCTGTGCCCGCAGGGCAGCCGCCACGGCATCTGACGCAGTGGCATGGTCGAGATCGGTGATGCCATACTCAGCTGGAAGCGATGTCAGAAGATGCTGCATCCGAGAAGGAGAGCCAGGGGGGAGGGGGGGAGGGGGTCAGACCGAGGGGCAGGAGGCCGGGAGGCATGCAAATGTCGGGGAAAGGACGGGCAGCCGATGCACCAGCACGCACCAGCAAAATCAGGGCCTCCTCGCGGTCGAGCCATTCGGCCGAGGGGGAGCCCGGCCCGGGGGCCGGTGTGCCGGCTGCCGGACGCCGCCGGCCCGCCGGCCCGGTGGCCGGCCGGTCGCCGACGACAATCGGCTGGTGGCTGATCAGCGAGTAGCACACGCGTTCCAAGTCCACCAGGCGGTCCTCGCAGCGCTTGATCCGCTGGAAGAGCGAGTGGTTGAGCGGCGGGCTGCGTGCTTGCAGGCGGAAGAGGTGCTCCTCGACCAGGCGCAGGCGCTCGGCCGCGGTGATCTGCGCCTGCATGATGTACTCCGGCAGGGGCCCGATGGTGGGGGCGGCGTCCGCGCCCGGGGTGCCGCGGCCCTGCGCCAGGGCCAGGAGCGCGGCGCTGCCGGCCGCGCGCGGGGCCGCCAGCAGCCGCGAGCCCCATGGCTCCACGATGCCGGTGGACCCGACCACCCCGGCCGCCCGGGCGGCCAGCACGCTGTTCGGGTCCGAGGCGTCCGGGCCGGCGGCCAGGGTCGGGGCCCCGGGCCCGGGCCGGCCGGCCGGCCCGGCCCCCTTCTCCGCCGACAGCAATGTCTGCAGGTGCGGATGGTCGGCCAGCATGCTGGTGCCGATGCGCACGCGCCGGGGCGGCCGCACGCGCGCACATGTCCGGCTGCAGTCCATGCTGCCGGAGGAGCTGGCCGACCCGCCGCCCGGGGAGCCCGGCCCATGCCCCTCGCCGGGCGAGGGCTGGGTAAATTCCGTGGCGTTGCCGTGCGTGGCGCTGCGCTTGTGCGCATCGACCAAGTCGTCCAGGCGCCGTTCCGGGGCCAGGGGGTCGGCGAACAGGGCCGCCAGGCTGCTGGACACCGAGGCCCCGGCCGAGCCGATGTCGAAGTCCAAGCGCAGGCGCTTGGCCAGGGCCGGCGCCCCGGAGGAAAGGGTGGCCCCGGCCGGCCGGGGGAGGGTGTCCTCCGGCTGCCGCGCCAGACCCCGGAAGGCCGGCCAATCGGTGGCCGGCGCCTCGGCCAGCTGCTCCAAAAGCCCCGGGGCCACGCCGGCCAGGCGCCCGAGAAGCAGCGACACATTGCTGATGAGCTCCACGGTGGCGTCGTGCTGCCGATGGAAGTGCTGGGTCCGGGCGTATGTCGCCACGCCGAAGAGGTCCAGCTGGATGACGCGGCGCGACGAGCGGGGCGGGGCGGGGCGGGGAAAGGGCCGACACATCAGTATGGGTGCAAAAGGGGAGCCGGGGAATGGAGGGGGGCGATGCGGCGGCGGCGGCGGCGGCGGCGGCGGCGGCGGTCAGTGGAGGGGCGGGCTGGCGCCGAGTGCCGCACCTTGGCGCAGTAGCCGTCTACGATCGACTGGACGGCCTCCACAAGGAGGAGGACCGAGTCGGCCATGGTGCCAGCCGGGCCGGCGGGCTGCTGGTCCGCTTCGTGGCGCAGCCGCTTGGGGCCCGGGCCGTCGGCCGGGCCGCGGTGGATCGTACGCCGTGCGGCGCGCAGCTGGTCCGGCAGCCTGGCGCGCGTGGCGCCGGCGATGCGCTCTTGCGGCGGGGCCATCTGCATGTGTCGATGCCCTGCGGGAGAGGCGATGGAAGCGGGATGCCCAGCGGGGAGGAGGAGGGGCCAAGGGCGAGACCGGGGGCGATGGGGAGAAGGACACAGGGCGGGGAGCGGGAGGGGGGAGGCGCACATAGCCCCGGGCCGAGGGGGGGGATCGGCCGGTCCGGGCCGGCGGCGGAAAAAGGGCAGATCGGAGATCGGGCGCGCGCGTCGAGGCCGCATCACATGACTCCCGGCGCCGGGGGCAGACAGGGCACGAGTGGCCGTGCGCCCCGGGCCCGGCGTAAAACACGCCCGCGGCGGATCGCCCCCGGGCCCGGGGCCGGGCGCCCCCGGGCGGCCCGCGCGCCTGGCGGCGTGCCGGCCCCGCTCTCTCTCTCTCTCTCTCTCTCTCTCGTTCTCTCTCTCGCATGCGCTCTGCGCCTGCCCGAGAGCGGCCGGCCTGCGGGGCACGAATGCCAGAAATGCCCGGGCCGGGGGGCAAATACAATTCGCCAGCCGGCGCCCCCCCCCCCCCCC